AGAACTATAAAGAATTCTGGCATCATGGTGGCACGTTTAACACGATTATACGATTTTAATTTTGTCTGCAGGACTGATGTACATGCTACTGAAGCACCTGGTGGACAGGTATAACATGTATTATGCCTACCTGCCCTCCAAACTGGATAAGAAAATCCACTCTGGAGCTGTCAACCAGGTGGTGGCAGCACCCATCCTCTGCCTTTTCTGGCTGCTCTTCTTCTCTACTGTCCGTACAGGTAAGACAATGCCAGATAGTGGGTCTGTTCTAAACCCTAGCAAGCTGCCTACCTACACAGCATTTTTAGGCATCATAGGCACACTGTGTGGATGCAATGATAGTTCCAAACAGTAGGCAGCAAGGTTGCTCACTTGCACTTGGAGAGTATTGTGGCCCAGTGGAAAACCAGGTTGAGAATCAGTGCTCTAGATGTAACTGTAGAAAGATTATTGTCATAACTCTAAAATGATTTTTCTTCCTCTTCTCTGTTCTAATGTGATTTTTGTTCTCTTCTCTCTTGATTTCCTTGTTACATTTTAAAGGTTTTGTTGCTCCGACATCAATGTTTACCTTTGTGGTTCTGATCATCACCATCATCATTTGCCTCTCCCATGTCGTCTTCGGTCATTTCAAATACCTCAGTGCGCACAATTACAAGGTCAGAAATAGCTCTGTCTGTTTGATTATTTGTTTTTTATAAATAAATCCAAGCACAGAACTTTCTCTAATCTGCAGTGTGATTTTCCTGAATTCTCTACAGATCGACATGGACGGTGTGGACAATGGACGACCACCAGATGCATCTCAACCTGTCAAGTCTGTGGTAAGTTTTAATAATCACATCAGTGTCTCGCACATCATGAGCACGAAAGCTTTATTACACCCCTAATTTTTAGCATTAACAGTATTTATTTAGTAGTTATTCATCTGGCATCAACAAAATTCGATATTGTCACATCTGATTTTTTTCCCACTTTACATCTTCTCTTTGTATTCTATATCAGCAGACGTATGTCGCCCAAGTGCTACAGGACCCAAACACAGACGAGACGGGAAGTGGCGAGGACGAGGGGCAGGGGTCATCGCAGGATGAGGAGGGGGTGAACGAGGGTGATTTCCAATCAGGAGAGGACAGCCTTATTGAGAACGAGGTGCACCAGTGACCCAGGCAGGGTCACGCCATGTGTTGAACTTGGCAGGACTTTAACATGAAAGTAACATGAATCAAACGGAGATCCACTACACCTCACTTCACTTACTGAGCGTGTGAATCCATCACAGCTGACAGCTAAAACACTCATTTATCATTGAGGCTTGGAGACAGGATGGCCAATTGTCAAGAATTTGGAGTGGCTTGTGATTGTACTCCACCTATTTGAAACAGAGTTTCACAATTCTTCTTTACATTGGTTACCCTGTTTGTACGGCATAGTGTTGTCAAAAGTACCAACCGCGATACCAGTCGATACTGAAATTTTAAAACCGACCATTTCCCGCTAACATTTGAGCGCTATTGAGCAGATTCTTAAACACCGCTGATTGGCCATTGTGTTCAAGTGCTCAACAGATAAGACTGTGATTGGCTACAATGGTCATCGCTTCACGCTCTTCACCGAGCTCTTACACAGATACACACGGGAGCGTTTGAAAGCTGCGTCTATCAGAAGATCCCTAATATATCTGCACATAGACGGATCCTCTGATAGACGCAGCTTTCAAACGCTCCCGTGTGCTTCTGTGTGAGCGCTTGGTGAAGAGCGTGAAGCGACAGTCATATCTGTTGAGCACTTGAACACAATGGCCAATCAGCGGTGTTTAAGAATCCACTCAACAGCGCTCAAATGTTAGCGGGAAATAGACGTTTTTAAAATTTCAGCACCGACTGGTATCACGGTCGGTACTTTTGACAACACTAGTATGGCGTTTGGTAGATACCGAGTTTCTTGCCGTTACAAGCACATGTCTAGTAAATAAGACCAAAAACAGTAATGATTACTCATAATTTGCAATTAAAATTTTTTATTTACCTATGTTATGATGAATTAAAACAGCTATAGTGCTATCTCAGGTGGGCAGGAAAATTGTATATTAGGGTGGATTTCACATATACGCTTACAGTCTCCAAACCTTTTACATAAAGAAAATATTAAAAGATTTCTTCTTAGGAAAAGAGTTACATAGAATTATGTTCAGTTAACAGTTTGGTGACAGTTAAAAGCAAAAATAGATATATATGGCAACTATGATTTAATCAAATCATATACAGTCATTTGTTTTTAGAGCCCTAGCAACACCATTTCATGTTTACCATCTGTAGTACATAAAAACAGATAGGCCCAAAACATTTCAGTGATGGTGAATCACTATCACAATTTATCAAATTTTGTGAGAAATCATGTGTTAGAAATGCTTGTGTAATAAACATCAATCAGCATGACTGATTCAGTTTTGATTTAGAAACCAAATATTGTTATTTTCTTTGTCTCAGCTGAAATGGCACTACAGCACGATATATTTGAAGATGAGCAAATTAATGCAACTTTCAATCTTCTCTACCAAAGCCAATGTATTCAACATGAAGACCATTTCTAGTTCCTCTTGTATTAGTAATTGTTGGAAAAACAAAAGGATCGAAAAACTCACTCCAGCCTGCTGAATTAACCAACTGTGAGGAAAACCGCCACCAAACACTAATTGTCTCACCATATACTTGGACTGGAAAAGCCACTTTTAGACTCAAAGGCACATCACCATCCCTGGAACTATTCTCCTGTCTACCCTTACGTCTTCTGTGCATTCAGTGTTTAAATGTGGTATGACGCTACTTTCTGAATCAGGCATCAAATGGACCAACATTAAATTGTGTCGCTCTACTGTGGAATGTTCTGTCAATAACTGATACTGTAGCAGAAAAGAACTTAAACGCACAGCAAATTCCCTATGTGGGCTTAAAGGCGGAATTTGTGAATGTGAATATATTTTTTCTTTTTGTTATGCATGGGTATGAAATAATGGTTTCATCAGGTTTTGGTGATTGTTTTTTTTTTGTTTTTTGTTTTCTTTTTTATTGCCACTAACTAAGTGATGTACACATTACCATTTTCGATCATTTAACATATTTTACTACTCATAAATACTGTAAAGAGTGCATGGAAAACATAACCAGAAATCCCTGAACATCCTGAAAGTTGGGTTTATGATGATAGCAAGATCGCATTGGGTCATATATCAATATGTGTCTTGATTATGGCCGCCTTTATTGCTATAGTGGTGTGTTCCTTGCAATTTTACAAGAGAATGAGAAATAACAGACTCTGTTCCATGTTTCTTCTTACCTGTGGCCATTTACAAGCTTTTCGCTGACACTCTTGCAGTTGTGAGCTAATTTGACTGGGTTTATGCATCATTTAGTGGTTGAAGTCTGGAAAAAAAGAACACAAAAACTAGTACATTGACCACTATTTCTTAGCCACTGTTTTTTTTTTTTTTACTACACTCTTTATATCTGTTTTGTCACCATGCTCGGACATTTTTGCTACTGTGTCCATTATATACATAATGCATTTTTGTGTTTTTTGTGCAAGTCAGAACTGGAAACAAAATATTTTTTAGTTTTTCTTTCAAAAATGAGCAGACAAAGGCTGTGCCTGAGTACTTGCTTTAAAATATTTTTTTTTTCTTTGTCCAACCTCTATATGGTTGATCTTTCCTGCTAGTGGACTTAAATAGTTCTCATTGTGTCATTTATTGTTTACAGGAATAGCAATGCAGTGTTTAAACTGTCATTTTTTGCAACAAATGTTAACTTGAAACTTGTTTGCAAACTTGTGAATTAAACATTAGGAAGCTACTTAGTGATATTTTTAGTTAATTTATGTAAATCACACTAATCTACCAATCTATCACTGAGGAGCTTGTAACTTTTAAATGCAAATAACACTGTAGGCTATGCACTTCATGTGGAATATGTAACATTATCATGGTGTATGTAACAATATCAAGCCATTTTTGTCAGTGATCTTGTTTGGACAACACTGAGTAACTGCAGTGCTTTATACGTCTGATGCTCTTGCTGCTTAGATACTGTAGGTGATGACTGCACACTGGATCTATTTAAGGGAAAACACTGTTTCAAACATGATGCGGCAATAATTTATTTATGCATCTTTATAGGCTTTTCCCATTTGTTACAGATGTTGTCCATATTTATTTCATTTGTCTATTACTTTTCCATCTTTTGAATTAACCGGCCATTGGCCTGGAGTGAAGTGGATAAATCCGTGTAATATTTTTGTAAATAGAAGCATTGCGCTGCTCTTGGAACACTAAACTGTATTTGCATTTGTACAGCTTAGCCAGCAAAACCATGTACAGTCGACCATGAATTTTGCTTTTGTCCATTCAGATTTCCCTTAGGATCGTACTTCGCTTGCGATTGCTGTTTTTAATAGTTTTGTATCTCAACCCTCCGCTCAAATTATCTTTTGTAGTGTCATCCTCAAACTCTTCCATGTCTTTGAACAATAAAATAGACTGACAAAACCATATAAAGTGTCATGAAATGTAATTTACAAAGAAATACACTAACTGTGTTTCACTTAAATATAGTCATATAGGCTGTTTTATTCTATTCTAGTTAAAATTGCTGTCGTCTATTGAATTCTTTGCTAAAAAGCAATGCTAATTTTGGCACATTGTGTAAAAAAAAAAACATTGTTGATCTCAAAAAAAAATATATAGGTTTAAAAATGTATAAAGGAAAATGTCTCAATATGCAAGTGTCAAATCTTCATGATTTTCTTATTATAATACGGTTTTAAAACACTCTTTTCCTCCTTTAAGGAGTCATGATGTTATTTTATGGCAGCTTTCTTTTCTCTGCAACGAAATAGTAAGTTACAATCTTTGACCTCTCACGGTCTTGTGATGTGTCTCAAGAGAAAAGGAAAACAGGAACAGGGAGTCATAAGCTGATATCCGGTTCACTACTGAATCTTTAATTTCAACCGATTCTTTGCAATGATTCGGTCAAAACATTAGACTGCATTTGGCGTCGGCAGAAAGTGTTGTTTACCAATATTATTACCTAGAGAAAGAGATAAAGGTCATGATTGTCTTTCTATATTTCTTTATATAAATTAATTATAATATCAACGTTCTGAATTAATATCAACGTTCTGAATTCAAATCGTCTGTATGAATCTGATAACCGGCATATTAGCAGCATTCCAGTCGTGTTATTTTATTTTATTTAAAAATTCACATTATGTATATAACTTACACCTAAATGTTCTTATGACAATATTCTCAGCGAATATGTATTTAATATAGTTTAGAAGTAATTTGTGAAGAAAACGCGTCTTACCTCAGACGGTGCGCGTGTGATCTAAAGTTAATCAGTTCAACGGCTTTTACGATTTGAAATTTAGGCCACGTGTCTATTTAAAACGCGTAATAACGGTCACAACGTTTAAATAATATGAATATTCACAATTTACTTATAGAAGTCTTATATAAATTTTATTTATTTCTACAAATAACGTTCCCCAAACGTTGCAATGTGGTTATATTTTGGCTACGTATTCACAAACGTCTCGTTCAAATATACTGATTACGTTATTTAAATCTACATAAATCGAATTATACTGATACATTTTGTTATGCTTTGTATTCATATAACCCAATAGTGATGGCATACTAATAAACAGCCATTTTACTACAAAATTGACGCGTAAAATCCCCAGTGTCTTTCTGAGGACACTGACTCGGTTCGTTCAATAAAAGGAATCGATTCTCTCAAATGAATCGGACTCTCCCCTGAGCATTAGTATCATTATGTAATGCTGTTCATCGGACTCTAGGGGTGTAGTTTAGGGTTATGGAGGGTGTTGAGACGTGGATAACTCCACTATGCCTTCCAGCGAGTGTTCAAAGAGGATATTGTGTCTTGCTTTTGTGTTTTAGGGTGTTTGTGATCGGAAGGGCTGAAGAGCAGCAGTCATGGACGGAGCTTGGGCTGTTATTCTCATATCTCTGGCTATGTTCGTGGGATGTTTCGTGCTCGGGATAATTCCACTGTTGATCAATTTATCAGAGGTAAGATGATCACTATGCATATTCAACAAATGCTGATACGTTAACTTTATACAGTACTGTAAAGCAGAGCATAATGGAATCTGACAGATGATAAATGCAGATAAAAACCATGCTTACACACAATACAACACATGAAAATTGTAGCATGCATTACAAATGAAGTTTAACTATATCAGTAAGGTTTTTACTATACTTTGTGCTCTGCCCAGTGTATCGTTCGCTGGTTGTAGTTTCTGCATGTGATAGTTTCTGTAAATCTCTCCGTAGCAAACTCAGTTAAACTCCTTAGACTTCGAACTGTATATACTGTAAAACATAAAAGTCAATGACTATGAAGAGCTAAGGCAGTAACTATGTATTTTGGCATTGAAAATCAAGTTTAAAGTTATTTCACGACATTTTCTCCACCCTTACAGCAGAAACTGCAGCTGATTACTGTGCTGGGGGCGGGGCTTCTGTGTGGCACCGCCCTGTCAATCATCATCCCAGAGGGGGTGGAGCTAGTGCAGGAGTCATGGAAAGGTGAGACTTGCCATCTTCCTCCATTTCATTCATTTACTTCCCTATTCAGGGAATGAATATGCACAGCCATGCACACTTTTACAGTGCCTTTGTTTACTTTTATCCAAAGTAAGTTACCAGTTAAAACTCACTGCTGGTAGCCTCATATTGAGGAGATAACGATTGATTATGTTTGCCAGTACATGTTTCTCCTCCTCCTCATGTAGACTGGTATTGCTCTGCTATGGAAGAGAATCAAAATATCTCTGAATCAAATTCAACACTTCATCAAGCCGCAAAGAAAGGTCTGCGTCCTCACTTCTTCATAGGAATCTCTCTCGTCTTGGGCTTTACGCTCATGTTTGTGGTGGACCAGATTGCCAACTACTGCTCTATGCACGGTACCTCAATGCTTCGTCTTATCAGAAACACATTTCAATACTTATCCACTCACTTCTTCCACACAGAGGAATAGAAATGTATCTTGTGTTGAGAATAGAAATGTATACGGGTGACCATACGCCCTCTTTTTCCGGACAAGTCCTGACCAGGATTTCTGAATTGCCTAAAATGTCCAGGTTTTGGCTTTGTTTTCCTATTCTTCATATGTTATATGTACGTGTATTTGCATTGCTTTGATTGTTCTCTGTAGATCCCACCTTCTCGCACACCACGATTGGTCGATCGTGTACAATGCCAGCACACTATTGGTCAAACTGTTTTTCAGTCATTACCTGCAGCAAGTATAAAAACAATAGGAAAACAAAACCAAAACCTGGACATTTTAGGCAATTTAGAAATCCCGGTCAGGATATAAAAAAAAATGACGTATGATCACCCTAAATGTATGCTAATCTTAAAATAAACAAGATTCAATGTTTTGCTTTAAGCTTAGCTTTGTAATAATTTATACTGAATGACTCTGCAATCGTTCTGTATTAATTATTGAATTAAGTTATTATTTCATTTTGATTTGTTGCTTAATATTGTTTTTAATAGTTTCTGAAATGGTATACAATATAAAAATTCTGTAGTATGCATGCAATATTGTTTACTTCAGCAAGTTGCATCCAGTTATCATGTCAGAAATAAAAAATTATTTAGCATTTTTCACACAACGTCTTTTTAAAAATGTCCTAACTTTTAGTGTGGCTCTCTAAAAGTTTTTATTTAAAAAAAAAAGATTAGGATCTATTGTATGTACGTATGTATCTTCTATTTAAATTTTCAGTATCCTACTGTAATGTGATAAATCTCATTCTTACTGTATTATTGAGATTGTAAAGCACAATTGTAAGCATGCATTATGACTTGAATTTATTCCACTCGGCCGCAGACAGACATGTTGGAGTCTGCGGAAAAACAACCGGTGTGAAACGCTTTCAGATGCTCTCTTGAGAACGTTTCTGTTTGTCTTGTTTCCCAGAACCCCGAGCGCGCGTGTACAGTGGCAACAGTGTTACTGCCACCCTGGGTCTGCTTATTCACGCCGCAGGTAACAAAGGCTTCACTTCCACTATTATGTTCCGTATTGCCCAGACTCAACAGATCACATTACAGTGAATCATGCCCGTAGTGCTTGTCCTTCTGAGTATGGTTATTCAAGTCAATGAACAATGGGTTCTCAATTCTGCTTAATAAGCCTCCATTGTGTTTTTATCACAGCATCTGTCCTTTAATACCAAAAAAGGGACACTAAAAACAGACTAACCTCATTGTGTGGTTTGGTTTTCATGGCTAGTGTTACATTTCTGTTTTCAAATATTGGATTACAAGGAGTGCCAACAAAAAACATTAAAGGGGTCATATGATGTTGCTAAAAAGAACATTATTTGGTGTAATGAAATGTGTTTATGCGGTTTAAGGTTCAAAAAACGCATTATTTTCCACATACTGTACATTATTGTTTCTCCTCTATGCCCCGCCTTTCTGAAACTCGGCGATTTTTACAAAGCTCATCGTTCTGAAAAAGCGAGGTGTGCTCTGATTGGCCAGCTATCCAGTGCGTTGTGATTGGCCCACTGATTTCTAGTCGTTTCCTCTTTTGGAAGGCCAAACAAAGTAGTTTCACACGGCGGGCTTGAGAACGGCGCGGCCGGAGGATTCGACAAAGGAGCATCCGGCGGGTTTGTGGCAACCACATGTGACGACCCCGGGCTGGACTCCGCTTCGTCCACGGTGAAAGCCGATCCGGCGATCCACAGCGCAAAGTTGTTGTATTTCCTCAGCGACCAGCAC